ATCCTGGGCCCAAGAGATTAGAGTCAATGATCTCAGCATACAGCATAAGCATCCCTTTGCTGTATGATGTCATGAATGTAGTAATCCCATTGGCTTTTGAGAAAAGGCAGTCATCTGCAGGGTTTACCATACAAAAACTAATGAAATCCTATATTCTGTTATTTTCTATTCATAAGTCCTTCACAGTCAGAAGGAGGAGGAGGAGGAGGAGGAGGAGGAGGAGGAGGGGGAGGAGGAGGAGGGAGAGGAGGAGGAGGAGGAGGAGGAAAGCTCAACTAGAACACTAACAGCTTCTAAGTCTATTGACTGTTTCTACACTTATTGTGCAGCCACTGTACTTTAGAGAAAGATTTGTTAAATTGCATGCTTATGTTTTTACTTAGCTGTAACATGTCCTAGTGCTCCTAAAAGTGGTCATTTGAAAAGCAGAGGGGTTTTTTAATTGTTGTTGCTGTTGTTGTTTTTTTAAATGAGAAAACAGCATTTTTCTATAGAACGAGGCTTGTGGTTCCTATGTGACAAAATGCTAAGGAAGAGTATTGCACATGAAACTGTCAGCAAAAGGGAGATGAACTAGGGGATCTGAAGCAACTATGCAGAAACATGAGTCAGTAAATGATTAGCCTACCCAAACATATCTACCTGTTAATAATTTATGGCCCATCAGCCACTGTCTGGAAAGAAAAAAACTCCTTTTATAAATGAGCCAAAGCTGATGTAGCCATCAGAAATTCCTTCTCTTCCCAAGTGAGTGGGCTGTTTGCAGATAAATGCCCCTCTGAAATTTCCCATTCATACTCTGAAATTAACTTGGCTTTAAGAAAATCCTACGGCAATCTCATTTTGAGTGGGGGGGGGAAGGAGTGTGAAGTAATGTCTGGAGAGTACATCTTAAGGATCTCCTAGCTCAACACATATATGTATGCTCAACAGGAGAAGTCTTCCTTGCAACCTTCTAGAAAATTACTCCAAACTGGACAGAATGAGAGAGAGAGAAGGGCACACCCCTCCCTTGGGATTTAATTATAGTCGTTATGAAAGTGAGGAAAAGCAAAGGGTTGTGAAATAAAAAGACGACACTGAAAATGAATACCATTACGTTGTTACACATTTGTCTCTGAAATGGTTTTTCTGAAAAATCGCAACACTGGCCAACCATGAATGCTAACAGCTAATTTTATTCTCATTTGCAAATGTCTAGCAGGTGTCACTAGAGTAACTCAACCAAAACAAGGATCCACTTTTTGGACTTCTCCAACAGCCTAAAAACACTCTCATATTAGAACTTTTAAGAAGTACAATAGGCATGTGCAAAATGTATCAGTCCAAAGCTTTTGATTTCCCTCTGGATTACATCATTCTGGATTAGTTGGTGGTTCCCCAAAGTACAATCCAAACCAAAACTGGCTTGTGATATTCCAGATATAACTTCCAGATTAGGTTGGTCTCTGTCAGAGCAGGTCTACCCGTTTGATCTAATCTGCACAACATACAAAGCCAACGTGTATTTATTTGCTTTTGGTTCAATGTGTTGCGTTTACCTAGCCTCTGTATTTGCTCAATCATTTTTTGCAGTTTAATACATTGTTTGAGCCCAGCCATTGTGGTTCACTCCATAAATCTTGGCTGCATAGTTGACCAACCCAGGCCTTACATCTGGCAAGGATTCACACATATGGCAGAGATGGTCACTGCTGTTTACAGCCTCCTGAATACTATGTTGCAGTTGGGATGAATTGTGAATTTGTTGTACGTATGAGTTTGGCAATTTGATCAATCAGTAATCATGCTTGAGGGGAAAGGGGAAATCCAGAAATGTAGTATTTGAGAATGGGAATATCTGCTGATAGCAGTGAATTTTCATTACTTCTTTCTCTAAGCTGTAAGAATTGTTTATCCTTTGCAAACTGCCTGATAATATACAAGATAGCTCAGAAAGAAGAGGTCTGGGAGTCTGTAAGAGATCTGTATTGCCATCTTCCTGAAATATTTTTTGATTGTAATTATGCTGCTATTATTATTGTTGTTGTTGTTGTCAATCTACAAGTTGGAAAAACCTAGTTTGACCCAACAGGAATCTGATTTTGATTTTGGTTGTGCCTTCCATAATAGTTGAGTTTACACATTGTGCTATGTCATGCCTTGTTTAACCATAATTTGAGTAACCTCAATTGACTGGCTTCAAGAAAGACTTAAACCATTATTTAACATTATCTAACATTTTCATATGCAGTGGTTAATTTCACACAACTACCGCCTATAGAATCCAGGATCTTTCTTACTGTCTTGCACACCTCTAGAACACATCACTTTTATATTAACTTGGGATTTCCTGCTATTCCATCCTATTTAGGTGGCATTGAATAAACAACTATGGGAAAACATCTGCTTCTATAGATGGACTAGAACTAATTTAACAAAATACAGATGTGTGAGAAAGGGGATGTTTCAAAGTCTGTCCAAACCACCAACATATATGCCTGATTAAGAAGATCTGCCAGATGAACTTTTACAAACTTTTGATCAGCTCTAGTAATAAATATATGGGTGTGTGGAGTAAGTTAGGGTGGGGAGTACTACAACACTTCTGAGCAGCCCTGTCAATTTGCCAAAATCGGTTAAGATGTGGAGCATAGATAGCGGAGCTTGTGCCTTTATTGCCAACTTGAGAAAATATCAAAAGCCAAATTGGGTGTCTACCAAAAGCATTACCTTCTCAGCAAAGCTGTTATCATCAGTGGGTTGTGTCTGACTGGTGATCATGAACCGCACAAATAATCTTGCTGTCAGTGAAACTATCAACAAAGTAAAATCTACAAGACTGTTGATCTGTTCTTCAGTTTACTGCAGAGATAAACACAATGCCATCTTAATTTCCCATAAAACGGAGGGCTTTCAATGATTAAATCAGTATTTCTGAAGATCATTACGTATAACCAACGTCTGTTTGGCCATTTTACAACATTTCTATGAGAGAAGCTGGCATTATAATATTCATTTCCATGTTACAGTGAAAAAATATGAGAGAATTAAAGATAAAAACACCACTTAGCTAAGGTCACCTCATGAGCTGATAGGCAAAGTGAACCCAAGAACTCTTAGCTTACAGATATCCCTTTTGGTGAACTCTTGTCACCCTTTCATCCTTATGGTTTTCCAGGAGTCACAGCCACTGCTGCCTTCTTGTTTTCCACAATACTAACAATCTAATAATTATAACAATTTCTGAACAGGAAGCAAAAGCAACAATAATATGATCCACAGAAGACCATCAAGTGGGAACTAGTATAGCTTGGAGATCATCAAACCAAGAATTGGAATTCTATCGGCAGGACATTGTATTTTGTTATTTTCTCTAGTTCTTTCTCTATTGTCCTGCTGTCTACAGGTACCACAATATCCACTATCCAGACTTTTTGGTCTTTTTTTATCAACAATTGTTAATTCAGGGGGTGCTTGCCTAGAAACACAAATGGAACTGTGGCAAAGAAAGCAAAGATAGTACCAATAGCAACACGGGCACCTTGGGTTGAATCCCAAAGCAACTGGAGCACCACTTGAACACTATCAGCATTGACAAAATCACCATCAGTCAGTTGCAAAAGGCAGCTTTACTTGAAACAGCTTACATCCTGCAACAATACTTTCCACAATATCAAACATCTGCCTATCCCAGTTCCTTGGGAAGAACTCGATAGATGGTAATGCCAAATCCAGTCTAAAAAATTATTTATTATGGTTAATTGCACAATCAGCCAGTTATTTAGACTGGATTTGGACTTGAGTGGCATATTTCAACTGCAGTCACAGTAACTGCCAAGAAATGACACTGTCCATGTAACTCTGAGCTACTGTTTCTCTAAGAACTCCCAACAACATAAATCTAGGAAACAAGTGAATGAAATGATTTACACCAAGGGAATGTGAACCTGCATCCTTGCATTATCCCGACATCTGAAGAAGCTCAATGGAGTTCTTCTATTCATTTCATATCTACCCCACAATCATGGCTAAATGGAGCCGCTCTCCACTCAACCTCAATCAACACCCTACTTTCAGTTCTTCACCTACACTTACTACTTCTACAACCCACAGATACAGTTCATAGCGCAGAACTAAAATGACTAACCACTTCCTCTTGCATATAGCTCCTAAAATTATCTTCCATCTTCCCCAGAGGCACCACATACATGCACGCACACTCACAAAGAATTATCAGCCCTATTAAAAAAAAACCTCTGCAAATTGAAAGAATTACATTCAGGTGTGGCCTTAAATGCAGCTCCAACTGTCTCACCACTGCTGTTAAAGTGCAACCTTGAAAGAGATAAGTTGTAATGGTTAATTGTTGGGGTGTATGGCCCTTGCATGGCATATATTTCAAGCTCCAGTTAACGGTAGCCAATCTTAATAGGTTTGTAGGCATCTCTAATGGGGATGTGTGTAAAAATCCTTTAATACTAGGAATATGCAGAAAGTCAGAAAGTATAAAAGCTAGATTAGACCGTGGGTGACTGCAAATCTGTGGTTGTGTGTTGTGAGAATCTAGTCATTGTCGTAGCATATTTATGAACCAAGCTATCACAATAAATCATAAAAGGGTGTTATTTACTTGGGCTTAACATATTTATGTAGATACACCCAATATATCTGTTAACCTAGATTCAGGGAGGTATTATTTTTACTGTTGTTCATCCTGCCAATGAGAATGACACACGCGTCATGGTTGTATAACACACCAAACCTGGTGAACAATTTAGCCGACTGGTTTGTAGAATGAGCTGAATTATAAATGAACCAAAAGAACTGAGATTGTAGAACATGCTGGATTTCCCCTCACTTCCAAAGAAATACTAAACCAAAAATTTTAAGGAACCACACTTAGCTTATTGCACAAATGCAACCGCCAGATCCTTGACTGACCTAACTGAGCATGTTGTGTGAGTGAACATAGCCATTGAGGAACTGCTTTGATCAGCCACATTTCTCCAGCATCTTACCTGTGTATCCGGCCAGGGCAGCAGCAGGAATGACAGGTTTGTCCTTGTTCATGTCAGTTCGGTCTCGTACATAGTCCTTGAAAGTGCCTTTGGGCTTGTGGTTGGGCAGAGGAACAGGATAGTCCTCCGAATCAAAGCTATCGTAGGAAGGGACACGCTGGAGACTCTGGAAGGATGACTGGCTGCTCCAGGACTGGGCCAGGCGGTCACAACTGTCGTAACTCTCGACACTCTCAAAAGAATCTTGGCCCCCAAGTTTACCTGCAAGGCAAGAAGAAAATGAAGGTCATCCCCAACCAGTGATTGAGATACCTCCATAAATTGGAGGAGGAGAAAGAAGGCCCAGGCTACAAATAACATTTGACTGCCTAACTACCTTAGACTTCCAGATCCTCTCCAGCGTCGACTTCAATATCATGTTTTAATGGGATAGAAAAGAAAAGTCACTCTAAAATATGGCAAGCAATCATTTTAACCATCCTTAATGAAATATTGTTTTAGCTTTGTTCATCTGCTGTCCCAACTGCATCGTTTCCTTCTTTTTTTGCAGCACAGCCATGAGCCTGTCCCTCATGGCCCTTTTATGACTTGTGGACTTCAACTCCCAGTATGCCTGGCTGAAGAATTCTGGAAGTTGGAGACCCCTGCTCCAGAGCTTAATGTAGTTCTCAAGACAAAAAGAAGCTGCCCCATATTTCTGCAACTCCACCATGAAGGCGTTTGTTGAAGCATTACTGCTGAAACGGAGCCAGACATGATTATCTTCAGGTATAGATCTGCCCTGGAGGGCTGTTGGCATGATGGGGTAGAAGGGCACTGTGCCATCTTGGGTTGTGTCCAAAACAGGTGTGTAAGGGAGAGGCCTAAGCTGAATGAAATGAGGATGGATCTTATATTGTGTCCATCTGACATTTGCATCTCTTGGTGTAAATGATATCACTTAATCTTTTAAAGAATTGATAACAGGGCCGTTATGTATTCAAGATGGACAGTGAATAATATTTATATGTTACTTATATGTAAGGGTGTATAGTATACTATACTATACTATAGTATAGCATCGTCAGGGTTCAATGACTAGCATTGAACCCTGACGATGTCGGTAGCTTCCGACGAAAGCTTGGTGATTGGTGATTGCTGATTGTATTAAACTTTTTTAGTTTATAATATTCCTGGTGCTCATGTTTTATTGGTTTTTTCAGAAGTATACTACGTTGTATATAGTATGTTTTAAATGTGTGTTATGTATGTGTACACTTTGGGAGGAAGCAACTAAATTTCATTTGTAATGTGTGCCATTGTGCCCAGAGGAAAAAAATGACAATAAAGGTTATCTAATCTAATCTAATCTTTGTGGAGTCAAGGTTCACAGGGATCTATACCTCTCACTGCTTGAACACTGTCTCCATACTTTGAACAACCTTTTCCCTGAAATATACTTTCTTCCTATTCAGTTAAGGATATTGCTAAACCCGAGACAGGGACAGAGTTCTTTTTCAGTGGATCCTAAGGAGGGAAATAGTCCAGAACTACAGCTCTGGAGTTATGGTGGAATGTAGTCTCAATTCCAGAGGACAGAGACATCAAGTTTAAATAGTTTGGTTGGGAGAAAGAGGGTCAAGTCTACTCCTCCCTAGAAGTTCTCAGAGTACAGCTCTAACGATGCAAGTAGTTTGCTTTAATTGGGGAGGATTTCTGCGTATAGGTGAGGAACAATACAGGAAACTTCTTAGAAGTAATTTTGTGTATCTTTTTTGTTTTTTGGAGCTTGTCAGGAGCAGAGTCTTATAAGCACGGCAGAGATTATAAACAGAAAGTAGTTCAAGCTCAGATTCAATCTCTAGTTCGATCTCCAGTTTCTCCATTTAACAGCAACATGTTGCAAGGAGAAGGAATGACGTCTTCATACAGATTAGTGAGTTAGATGGAGAAACCACCTGACCTGCTTGAAACCACCAAGCATACAGATTACCACTTGTGCTGCCTATCACGAAACTTCTCCAAATGTGATAAGTATCGTCTTTTAGACTCTGGCTTCCAGATTCAGGGGTTTGTGTGTTTTTATATATATATATATAATCATGCATTCATTTAAACACTTTCAGATTTCAGCTGCATATGCAGAGCCCTCTATTACAAACAAGAAAAGACTGTGCATTATTTCTTCTTCTTCTTCTTCTTCTTCTTCTTCTTCTTCTTCTTCTTCTTCTTCTTCTTCTTCTTCTTCTTCTTCTTCTTCTTCTTCTTCTTCTTCTTCTTCTTCTTCTTCTTCTTCTTCTTCCTCTTCTTCTTCCTCTTCTTCTTCTTCCTCCTCCTCCTCCTCCTCCTCCTCCTCCTCCTCCTCATGACCAATAGATGTTACCTCAATCCTGGCAAGTATGAGGGTTGTTTATTCTTGGCTTCTTAGAGATACTGGCCAGAAGTCCAATATGTCAACTCAGGCAACTCTGCCCAGATTGATCACTCTTATTTCAGCTAAAAATCTGAATTCCTACCAAAGCACACAGGTTGAAAAGTGAACAAATAAAACAAAACAAATAAGATCTGACACTGCTTTCTCTGGAATTCCACTCTATGGCTATTGCTCAACCATTTCAGATTTACTGACAACCTTAACAGCGTAGTAGGATCATCTGAGTTCATTAATTACCAAAACCAGTCTGAAAACAGCTGCTTGGATTGTGCAAGACAGAGGGGAAAAAATCATTGGCAGAGATGGTGGCAAGTAAAGCCCACAGAATAAGCCTCAGAGGTGAAAAGAAGTCTTTGAACTGGCGTATTTGCCCTGTTTTGATTTGACCTCCATATCCTCTACAGTATGTACCTCCCTATCCACCTATCCTCAAAATATATCGAGTAAGAATTTCGATAATGGCAGGAATCACTTGCTTGACATAAGCACAGAGAGTCTCTAAAGTCTAGAATTTAGAAGGTGTATGATGCCTTTCTCATGTAGCATTTTTAGAACACTCAAAAGCAAATCCGTGGCTTAAGAAAACAAACAACTCTTCAACAATTCTATTGGTAGAATTTCTAGTTGAAAAATCTTGCATAGCACAACTTAGGAAAAAGTGTCCATCAGTCAAAGGAGATATATCACCTTGCCAAAATAGTGCTATTTATTTATTCATAAACCTCCAGAGTGATCCCAAAGGAGGGATAAATTTGTTAAACAAACAAACAAATCACGTTATTTATTTAGTCGGTTGATGTGCTGTAGGGAGCTGTATCCTGTTGACCTTGGCTGATCTCAAAAGAGCTCAGAAAGGTCAGTTAGACCAGGATAATACTTGGATGGGAAAACATGAAAAGGGTGTTGGCTACATTGGAAAAATTAAAAAAATAAATCCTAGAAGGCAAACCACTTCCAAATAGTTGCCAAGAAAAGTAGATGGATGTTTCCAGACATCTTTCCATTTTTAAACATTGCGTGATATGTGAGCTTAGCTACTGTGGCTTGATCACAGTGTGATCTCAACTAACTGTAACATATTCCAAAAACCTTGGTTAAACCATAGCTTTAAGTCAGGGGTCTTCAAACTTGGCCCTTTTATGACTTGTGGACTTCAACTCCCAGAATTCCTCAGCCAGCATGCCTGGCTGAGGAATTCTGGGAGTTGAAGTCCACAAGTCATAAAAGGACCAGGTTTGAAGACCCCTGCTTTAAGTGACATAAAATCTCAACCAGTATTGTGACTGGACACCAGTAGCTGAGCTGTGATTTGTTCATTGGTTTGTTGTGGTTTTTTTTGCTAAAAAAAAAAAAAAGCACAAAAGGCTGGGTTGGTAACCTATTATGGAAAAAAATAAAATCATCTCAACCCCACTGTAAAGTGTAGGCAGGGGTGTCTGGGAATCAGAACTGGGACAAAGAACAATGTCAAATCCAATTTATTATTGAATAAGAAAAGCTGTCATAGGTCTGGGGTATATATTAAAGGTATGATGGGGGTGAGAATGGATTTATAGGTATGTACATGTTTGAAACCAAAGTCATTCATCCCTATCTGCAATAGTTTCCTCATTTGAGTCAGAAGTTACAACAGATATGTTCCCCCCTGAATTTTGACATAATATAGTCCACCTTGTCAGGGTGGCTACTATGACTGTTGCAATAAATTTTTTCAATAGCCTTTGCCAGTTCCAGATTCCTCAAGATATCTTGGACTATGACTTCCAGAGTCAGTAGTTGGGGAATACTAGGTTAGAACACTTCTCCAGTATACCATATTTTAGAAAAAGTTACCAGCAATAACAATAGTAGTAGCACTTAAACATATATACCTCCCTGTAATGCTTTACAGCACTCTTTGGGTGGTTTACAGTGTCAACATCTTGCCCCCAACAATCTGGGTCCTCATTTTATCGACCTTGGAAAGATGGAAGTCTGAATCAATCTTGAGCTCCATCAGGCTTGAACTCTGGACTGTGGGCAGAGTTAGCCGGCAATACTGCATTCTAACCACTGAGCCACCAGGGCTCATTAAAGGCTCACCAGCACAATGCAACCATGAACTCTATCTGAAGAAGTTGTTGGCAATACCAAGAATGGAACAGATGGCCTAAATAAAGAGGCCTTTATTATCTATTAGTCTACACTACCTCGGCTGGCACGCCCCATGCACATGTTATCCGGTGTTACGACTTCCTGTTTGATTGTGAAGTAGTCTGTTGGCAAGGAGTCCATCTGCACTGGGTCGCGAAGAATGACTGATGGGTACTCATTCTCGTATTTGAGAGACAGGAGCTCCTCGGAGCTGATTGGATGGAGAGTCTGGTAGGACTCTGTGATGAAGCTGGGCTCAGAAAACTCTGATGGAGGCACACACTGGGCATGCTCAATGCCATAACCTACAAAGAGAAAAATGGCGTGAAGTGATGATCCAGGTTTTTAGGGACCTGCAGAAGGACACAAGTAAAGAGAGAGAGAGAGAGAGAGAGAGAGAGAGAGAGAGGGAGGGAGGGAGGGAGGGAGGGAGGGAGGGAAAGAAAGAAAGAAAGAAAGAAAGAAAGAAAGAAAGAAAGAAAGAAAGAAAGAAAGAAAGAAAGAAAGAAAGAAAGAAGAGGAATTGGACTTACTAATGAAGTAGTCGGATGTATAGCGAGATTCTGGATAGGCAGTATTTATTCCATTTGCTGGATATGGCTTGATCTCTTCTATATGAAATAAATGAAAGGGGATATCTCAATTATTCACCAACAATACAACTGGTGTGTATTTGTGTGTGCGTGTGTGTAATTTTCCTGAGTGCCAAACATTATGCAATTTTCTTATGTTTCTTTAGAAGAGCCTGTTAAGAAACTGTGACTGATGCAAAGTAATCACACACCATGGTGATGAGTATGTCAAACAGGCACATGGAGAAAATTTATGGAAACACTATTGAACATAGAAAGTGATAGTTACCAAGAAAATGCAAGATGTGAACCATAAAGGCATGAATCACTGTGGAGTCCATTGGTGTGCATGTAAGCATGGCTTTCCATGACATGAACATCTGCATTAAAATTTGTATACAATTTCCAAGACTTTACCTATGTGGCATCTGTTGTTTTAAACAGCTTGAAGGTCCTGACTGCAATAAGGATAGCAGACTGGTGCAATCAATATAGTTTGAGCCCAGTTCCCATAATCACCAACCATATATATGCCAAGCTGGCTAATGAGAGTTAAACACGAGAATTGTCCTCCTTAAGTTCTATTAAACAAATGTTGATACAGTTACATGCCTTACAGTTGTGTAATAGGATTTTCCCTCCATTTTTATCAGACTAAGAAAGCTGTTTGTGGCTGGCAGCTACATCTTCTGAGTAAGCCCCTTGGCACGGTCTAGTCATGTTGCAAAATGACTGAATATTTTTCATTGATTTTGGTTTAATTTGACTATTGTTCCAAACTGTGAATAAGGAAAGCATCATGCTCCAATGCAAGGAAATCAAGTCATTATTCATCTGTTTGTTAACAAATTTCACGGAGGGAAAACCGTCGTCTGCCAATTTGATGAGTTCCCTTTCTATCCCCTTACCTAAATCGTTTATGAAGATATTGAAGAGAACTAAGACAGAACCTTGGGATACCCCGCTGCTTACTTCCCTCCGTGTAATTTGTTAGCCAACCAACAGAATAACAAAATTCTGTTATTCGGCAGGAGGATCTTGAGAAATTGGGGGTGGGATCTAGAAAAGGATCTCAGTGGTCTAGATGGCCCATGAGCTCCTGTGCTCAATATCAGCTTGACTAAGCCAGATTGTACTGAGCAGCGTGTCCTAGTGCCATAACTTCAAAAACTTTTGCAGAAGCAAACACAAAGAACTGCATGGTCAAAGTAATCAAGATGGCCAGGGTCAAATGTTCTGCTCTGTCCTGATTACTTTTACGAGCAGCCTTCTGACACGCTTAGCTATTTCAAAACATTTCAGTCAGAGGTGACTCACCTACCACAGGCTGTCTAACAGAGACAGAAAAGGCATCAGGCAAGGACATATATTCTGACATATATGTCAGAATACTCAAAATGTATTCCTTTCCCTTCCCCATGCCCTAAAATAAACTCTTGTTCCTCAGAGTCAGCAGTGTCCTCTCGCTGACTACAAAGCTGGTGCCCTCTCTAGAACCATAACCTGGCTTATTCCCTTCCCTGTGTTTATCTATCTGGGGTTTGGCAGATCTGTCCAGGAGGAGGTGGGTTCCCTGGTGGGTCAAAACTACTCAGTACATATGAGACTATAGGACTGAAAGATGACTATGAAGGAGGAAGGACTTCTTTTAACCTTAGCACCTTTGTGAAAATTTACCCAACAGTCATGCTTTATACCTGGGGTATCCAACCTTAGCAACTTTAAGCATGGCTGGCTGGGGAATTCTGGGAGTCCACAAGTCTTAAAGTTGCCAAGGTTGGACACCTCTGCTTTAGACAATCTTCATCTCACTAGTCATAGATAATAGCTATCAGATGCATGATAACTTCCCCTTTCTAGTTTTGCAAATAGAAGTAGAAAGTGAAAACTGTTTTTCAACCTCTGTATATAACTTAGCTATTGGAAAGGTACCTAGCAAATCCTCAATTTTCTGGATCTCAGTAAATGGACTTTGCATACAACAGACCAAATTCCATTACAGTTTATGTAAGGACACATTTACACAAATGATTTAACTTGCATTATTTCCCTAATGTCATTATGCAAAATTCGGTTAGTTGCATAATGATACAGATAATGCATTGCCATAGTGATGCACTGTTCAATTTCTCAGATTACGGGGAATAATCAACATGGTCTTCCTCCAAATAATCCATTAAAACAAGGTTTCACTGCATATGTTTCCAGATCCTTATTTAGCAAAATGATTCCTTGTTTTCTAGAACTCAATCTTAATCAGCTTTTGCCAATATCTCCAGCTTAAAAACAATTGGCTAATTTGAGTGTTGTTTTCATGTTATTTCCTAGACTGTTGTTCAATTCTAAGGAGATGCCACCCCCACTAACTCCCATGCAAGTAAACAAATAAAAACATGTATCAAAGCCACAACATGCATTACCTAGTATTTAGCAATAGCAATAGCAATTAGACTTATATATTGCTTCATAGGGCTTTACTGCCCTCTCTAAGCAGTTTACAAAGTCATCATCTTGCCTCCAACAATCTGGGTCCTCATTTTACCGAAGGATGGAAGGCTGAGTCAACCCTGAGCCGGTCAGGATCGAACTCCTGGTAGTGGGCAGAATTAGTCTGCAATACTGCATTCTAACCACTGTGCCAACAGGGCTCTTTCATATGTAGATGAGGCTCATTGCCAACTATTCAGGGCAGTCTGTAAAACTACTATATCCTGACTCCTGTCTCAGCACATTTTTTAACTTAAATTTTAAGTTAATTTTTAAGCCACCCAAACATAGAGAAGCACCTTAGATTGAGTTAAGCTCTTGCTCCCATCAAGATGAAGGACTGCAAGATTTTCAAGCATGCTGGGCCCACCCTTCCCAGAGAAAATTGTGCAATGATGAAAGCTGAATTGGGATTCAACTGAATTGATATTTAAGCTTCATCAAACCAAATATGATTCCTTAGACATGTTCATGTGGTGGCCACATCTGAAGAGGTTCTGAATACAATGCACTGAAGCTCTTGGGGGAGGTTGACATGCTATTTGGGGACATCTGTTAATGTACTCCATTTCTGATTAGTATTCTCTATATTCATTGATTCTTAAAGCATTTCAATCTAAAGAATTTTTCCCAGCCCACCAAAAGTTACTTGGGATTTTGGGAAAACCAAGTCCTTAAACTCTAGATTCCTAGTATACCATATGCATTAGGCGTGCCATGGTGATGCCAGTTTGCTCAGCACAACAAAACACGTGAAAACTGAAATCTGCATGCATCTTGTTCTGTTACTCAACTCTCATATTGTGTGGTCGCTACACTGTAAAAAAAGATGTTGAGACTCTGGAAAGAGTGCAGAGGAGAGCAACAAAGGTGATCAGGGGACTGGGGGCTAAAACATACAAAGAACGGTTACTGGAATTGGGTATTTAATGAAGAGAAGGACTAGGAGTGACATGATAGCAGTCTTCCAATATCTCAGGGGCTGCCACATAGAAGAGGGAATCAAACTATCCTCCAAAGCACCTGAAGGCAAGAAAAGAAGCAACAACAGATGGAAACTAACCAGAGAGAGAAGCAATCTGGAACTATTTGCCTCCAGAAGCTGCACCTATGTGCCAACAACGAAGGAGAGGAGAAGCTGCCCATCTTACATCCAAGCATGTTTACCTTCAGAAAGCCACAAAAGGTGGAAACATCTTCTACCTTTTTAGTGGATTTCATGGAACAGACAAAACTGTCCCAACCCACTGTTTCCTCCCAAAATGGAATAATAAGCACCTGTCTCTACCTATTACAGAAGCCTCCAAAATGGTTTGCAAACATCTTAGTGGTACCCTCTATTTACAGTTGGTTTCACCTTATTATTCAAGACTGAATGCCACTCTGTTACCTTTTAAAGCTTATCCAGGGTAGTCCAAAAATAGCTGATGCTTTCCCATTATTTTTGGAAAAAGGAGGTGCCAGAAACACAGCTTTGCCCTTATAAACTGTGTGCAGCTCAACAGTTAAAACCCCTAATTTATAAAGGCCTTTATATGAACTTGGTTCACTGGCATATTTTGCAGGTATTTGGCAAGGAACCGGATGCTGGTAAACTATACGCATACTGGAAAATCCCACCCATTAAAGCACAGCACAGACACACTTCCTATCAGTGGCTACAGTGCTGTTCTCCTTGTTTGTACAGTAACTCCTCCTTTTAATAGCTTACGCACATTGACGGAAAAGCTACTGAAAAGATTTTGTGCAGGAATAGTCAGCTACAGATAGGAGAAAGGTATAATTTCACCACAGAACTTGGGTCTGAAATATGTAAACTAAATTAGCAATCTGATAAGCCCCTGTGGCATTGTGCAGTCTTGCAGAGTTGAACTCCAGCCTTTCTCAACCTCAGCAACATTAAGATGAGTGGACTTCAAGTTCCAGAATCCCCCTCCCCCGCAGCCAACATGGGAATGCCCTAGGGAGGCGATGAGAGATATCTCTCTGGGATTCGATGGCACTCTAGAATCCATAGATCTTGTGTTAAATCAACTCATAATGTAGACTGTGGTTGTCCAACTTCTTGGCTTGCCTGGGCTGCACTGAATGAAGAGGAATTGTCTTGGGCCACATATAAAATATATAATATAGTTAATGTATATAAGTAATAAAAATATAGAAAACTAAAGAAAGAATGTTATCTCGTAGGCCACGTTACTAGCTGTCCAGGGCCACATGTGGTCCATGAGTTGCAAGTTGGACACATCTTATGTAGACAGTTCCTAAACAAATACAATCTCTCTTAAGGCAATTTCCTATGTTCCCCCAAAATAGATAAAGATAACACTCCCTTTAAAAATGTGTGGGTAAGGGCAAGCTGCTTTGTAACTAAACTTTGCCAAATGTATTCACTAGAAGATGCTGCATATTTATATCTCTGAGGAACAACTAAACCTGATAAAGTGATGCAGAACCAGGAACATTGATTCTGCAGTGGGATATTCAGGAACTCTCACGAACTTGTGCAGTCTTCCAATAAAGTCCTGATCAAGGCGAGTGAGGTCTTTATTGATGGTCGTCATATATTACCTTTCTGCAACATCTCCAGATGTTCCCAAAGAATGTCTCCTACAAAGTCTGGTGCTAATTCAAGGAAGCAGTCCTTCCCTAGAGCACACAGGGTAGCTCCATTCATGCAGAACTTCTGGAAGTCCACATCCTTCAGACTGAACTCATTCATGGCCCACATAATCCAGTCCCGTACATGAGTTTCTGTCCACTGGTGAGGATCTGCATGAGGAAACCACAGATAAAAAGAGGTAGTGGGTGGATGGTATGTTCTATGCGGTTTACAGCATTCTATTGGAGAAGACCTCTGCAAGACCTCTGCTAGACTGAATTATTGGCCCTTGAACCTCTCCCAGCGAAAAATCATACTGAATTCTCTCCACTGTTGATAATCCAGTGAGAAGTAAGCTTTTCCCAATATGCCAGCAGACTTGGCAGAGACCTCTTCTGGTTTGGTAAGAGATCTCCAGCAGTTTTTATCCAAGCTGGCTAGAAACTGGATATTATTCAGAAGTTCTTTGGATGGTCAGATATTGTAAGCCATCACCAGGACATATTAATTGCAATTTTGCCCAGTCTACAGGTAGCCCTTGACTTATGACTAGTTGATTCTCAACTGTTTGAAGTTACAACAGACCTCCCCGGCGGTATTTACAACCCAGTTCCAAAGTTACGATTGCTGCTCCCCCTGAAGTCACAGGACCACACGTTAGGCACTTGGCAACCAGCTCACGTTTACTGCCATTTGCAGTGCCCCACAGTTGCCTTACTGTGTTTTGTGATGGTTTTGCTGAAAACCAGTATTTCCATCGAATTTTTGGCAAGATCAGCCCATTGGATTACTTAACAACCAGGGTGTTTGCTTAATGACCGTGGTGGTCATTCTGCAAGCACGGTGGTTGCTTAACCACCACTGCAAAGAGGTTTGTAAAATTGGGTTAGTCACATGGGTGACCTAAAGGATGAGAAGTTACCACCATGATGGGCAGACTCCATTATGGTTGAACGTTGAGGACTACAGTATCAAATACGATTCCTTTCTTAATAATATACCAACCACCCTTTAAAAATATAGTAATATATAAGAAAAAGGCTGTCAGTTGTTTCCACCATCAAGTTGAATGTCACTTAGTTAAGTATCAGAAAAAAGGAAGTATGAATCTCAAAGTTGTGGAAGGCTACGGAGACAACCTCTGAGGAACTCTATGCCCTGGGAGCTACAATATATCCATAAATGATACAACTGCTACCCTTCTGTTCCAAATGCTGTGCAGTGTTCAAATTGCTTTCTATATACTAAATGAAAACTGAATTACATAGGAGGGACTCTAAAATACATTCCACCAACCCATTCAACTTGCACCTGTTTTGAAACCACACACTCTTGTAGCAGGTTTGCACAAGTCAGCCCTTGTGACTTACCTTTGGGTATTCCCAGTCGTTGCTGCTCTTTTGTGAAACCACTGAACGTGGCTTTTAATGCCTGAGACATCATTTCTTTGCTGCTTGGGGTTAACAAAGGCACATCTGCACATTCCATATCTAAAAGACAGAGATGAGACACAGGAACATCAGTGGATACAAGAGGTATGAATGGTGGAAGGATCAAGGAACTGAAGTCGTAGCATCGATTTCAATAGGCCCAACATCTTTTTCCTGGCTAGAATACTACTCAAAGGGCAAATCTAAGTTGACTAGAAGATAATATTCCATGAACAGCCAATGGAAGTGGACTGTATGAGGCCATTTTTGAGTTGTTGCCCTTTGGTTTTGATTTTGTAAAGATATATAGAATTGAAGAGTAGGCATTAAGTCTCCCTTGGTCAAGTGCCAAAATCAAGAAAGACATGTTGGGATTCTTCTAAACAGTTTTCTTTATGGTCTCTTACCTATAGACAGAAATCTTGCCAAACTAAAACAGTCCACTTGCACAATAAAAGATATACTCTGGGAACTATGATAATTATGGTAAGGCAAACTCCACTTATCTCAGTAAGCTCACCCAAAATGTGTATGGCTACACATTTTTATGGCAATGAAATCCTCATTTAAAGTAAGGGGGTGGGATGAGGACGGAGAGCGTCACCTAGATAGGATGGTTTCTTTTCTATCCATGTTTATGGTATTTTGTTTGATAGTCTACTAAGATACACAGTTTTGCTTGTTATCTTTCTGCAGAACTCAAGAACACCGTTTTTGGTGGGATATTTAGGAGCAAACGCAATGGGAACTATAGCCAAGCTATTGGAGAATGAGCAACAGATTCCAAACACTGTTTAAAAATGTCGTTGGGATATTTAGAGGATTTTATTAGCAAAGCTCTGGAGAAATAAACACACTGCTGAGCCAACTCTGCCATCCATCTTCTGCTCAGAGATAACACCAAGAGAAAGTGTCCTGCACACTCTCCCCCCCCCCTACTTTTAAGCAGCTTGTTGGGTTTTAATGATGGGCTTAGCATGCTTGGTGGGTAACAAAAACGACCACCCACCAACAGCTCAATCACCTTTGCAGCCTGGTCAGAGGGCAGCTGCGTTGCTCTCTGGCTATGGGAGAGTGACTCAGGCACAGCTTGGAGAGATGGGAGAAGCCAATCCTGAGACTTGTTTTGCTGTTGACCAACTTCAAATACAAAAAGAAGCACATGTGCACAGCAGACCTTGAGAAACACACCAGGAAACAGGCCCGCAGCGCAATGCGCTTCACATTCCCTTAAACCAGGGGTTCCCAACCGGGGGTGCGAGACAATATTCCAGAGGGTGCAAAGACTTGGGTTTTCAAAATTATTGTGTATATGCATAATTCATTGGCATTATTTCGAACTTTTGTAAGGGGTACGAGAATATATCAGAAGCATTCTAGGGGTGTGGGGTATAGAAAAGGTTGGGAGCCACTGCCTTAAACCAAGGCCCATTGGTTACTCTTCATAAAGCATGCACATGGATTGTAACACTGACAAATCATGACGGTGAAGGTTCGTTCTCCGAGCTTGTAGGTTGGTTTCCAAACGTTTCATTACCAGGCTAGGTAGCATCTTCAGTGGAGTTTAGGGAATGATAGTGTCAGTGTTCTTCTGTTGATAAGGGCTTCAGGTTGTTTTCCTCATGTTTCCTTTCTTAAGTAGAATTCTAATTTTACCTCCATCTGGTTGGGCAAGGGGTTCTCTCTCTGAAAAACAGTTTGCAATAGTGGCAAATATCCGTAGCGCAGGTGGAGGATGAGGGCGAAGGTTCGTTTTCCGAGCTTGTGGATTGGTTTCCAAATGTTTTGTTACCAGGCTGGGTAACATCTTCAGCAGAGTTTAGGAGATGTCAATATCAGTGTTCTTCTGTTTATAAACCTTCACCCTCATCCCATACCCGAGCTAAAGATATTCGCCACTACTGCAAACTGACAAATAATATTTGATGAATTTGGCTGGGTTAACATGAGATACGCAAGCATAAATGCTGTGGTTCATGCATACTACTAAACATTAAGCCATAGTTTACAAACCACCAATGGTTGGCTTTACATAAAATAGCCTGCTTCGTACATAGTGCTAAGACATGATATTTAATTTGTTCAATACTGCAAATTTTGTTTGGTGCACACAGTTGTGGAGTAACTTCCTGACTGGCTGGATTTACACTTGATGCTACGTTATGGCTTAACTGGGGTTTTGTGAATAAACCATAATTGACTGGGTTTACATCAATCTAAACCATCCAAACCACATTTTGGCTTAGCATAGTGTTTGGACCAGGGATAAAAAAAGTATGCTATTATACTACAAAGGACATTGAATATCTATACTGTGAATTCAATATAAAATTTCAGTCTTCCTAATTATTCCTACATCTCTTTCCTTGATATCTGTTGTAAAGTTTCTGATTCAATGTGACATTGTCTCACATAAAGAAAAGACTATATGTTTTCCTGAAATAATTTTGTTAGATATTTTGCTAACATTTATAAACAGGTTGCCGCTGCTAAGAGTTTCTCTTTACTTTCAGGTTTTTAATTACGCTCTTCTCAAATATTTTCTCCAAGTTTATTTCAGCTCAAGTGCTAGGAAGCATTTTTTACATTTCCTTTGCCCAATTAGCATCTATTAAAAGAAATAAAGTCATTCTTGCCAAATGTTGTTCCCAGATTTAATTTCTAAAATGAGATCTGCCTTTCTGAACATCTATCAATCAATTAAGATGAGAATTTGCAAACCAAGTAGAAATAAGGGTAGGTGACTTCAACCCTATGTTTAATTACAATTACTTCCAAGTAAACATGTCTTGGATTCAGTTGCATAATTGGTTCTTCAAGTCAACATGTAACAGCATACAATGCCTTATAGCATAAACTTAACTATGCTGACTCAGAAATAAACTTTATTTCAATGGAATTTACTTCTAAATATATTTTGGACTGCAGCCGTAAAGAGGCAGGACTGATGTCTTTCTTTAAACTTGTGTGGATAGATGGATAAATGATAGGTAGGTAGGTAGGTAGGTAGGTAGGTAGGTAGGTAGGTAGGTAGGTAGACAGACAGACAGACAGACAGACAGACAGACAGACAGACAGATATATAGATAAATGAAAGTATTGTTCATTTAAAATTGATACTTGTTTTGTTCAAGATGACAAGAGCTTTTAGCATCCAGTCCTGATCCAAGTTCAGTAACACATGAATTGCTCTCTCTTTAGCAAGATTCCAGCACCAGGTCTCCCTGAACAGATACTACTCCAAACCCAGCATGCAGTCCAAACAGCTCAAGTTTCATTCATGATCAACAAAACACAGCTAGTAGTATAATGTTATTTTGCAATATGGAGAACAAGCACAAATAACCCCACAGATGTTGACCTCAAAAGAGAAAACTAAGGCTTAACTGAAGAAACACAGCTAACTATTTCCAGGCTACATTTTACAGAATTACCAGAGTTTAATATACATTTAGTACAGGCTGATATTATATAGCAGACATCAAATGCCACCTTAAATAATTAACATAATAATCAAATAGTTATCTCATTACATGAAATCATGCTTTGGATAAAATAAAAGTGGTTGGATTAACATAATGCAATAATAACATAATATACCAGGGCTTCAAAGTATATATCAATTAGTGTCGTAAGACATAGCTTATTCACCTATGTTAATAAGTCAATCAAACTGTACTTTTAAAGCCCTGTTGATTAGAATCACACAATATATTAAACCCAAACCAAAATATACCTTACAATTTAATATAAGATATGAGCGCATATTCAATAGATCTGGGTCATCTTTTGAAGACCATAAACCCAAAAAGCTTCAAAGATTTATTTTCTCAAACAGAATATTGATTCTCCTTTTTTTGCCAACTTAATATGCTTATGTGTAAGAATTTCATGCTAGGTACCTTGAACGAGGCAGGGACCCTGCTGTTCTCCATATAGTAGTTTGGCAAGTTCAAAACTCACTCAACAATAAATTCCAACATTGTTTATGACTGGGCATTCCTCATATCTGTTCCATTTTCACTATGATTGCTAAGTTGCTGTTCCCTTGTGGAGGACCAAATTTTCATCACCACTACTTTACAACAGCATTCAAACCCAAATCATGGCAATTTAAGCAGCATTTAAAGCTCGTTTATACATGCGACAATAATAAGTGGAGACATTCCTCTCCATCTTGCTTTATATAAACTTCAAGTCCCAATTCTAGTTGTTCCTCCTGAAAAATCCCTTCTGCCCTTCTTCCTCTATAGTACCTTACACAGTAGCAAAGCCAAAATTGATGTCCGGCTAGGGCTGGTCACAACAGACGTTGGCTGACCTGGGCACCTCTTCCTGTCTGAAGACCTGATGGATAACCACTGAGGTCAGGGATCAAGCTCCCTATTGACTTCAAGAGAAGCGAAATGTCACTCTTACCAACACTTCACTCCCTGTAGCCATATCTACTAACTCTTAAGCCATCAGAAAAAGACACCTGATAGTATGGAAGACTAAGGCAAAGAACTCTATGGCTAGATTCACATATCAGGTTAAGCCATAAAATGGTTTGCTTGGTTTGGGCTTTCCATGTTGTATGAACCCATGTATGAACCCATCAGTTATTAATATTATAGGGATGGCTGAAGTCCACACATCTGAAAATGACTAAGGCTGGGAAACACTGTCCTAGAGAGAAGTTAGGTTAGCTTAGATCAGTTGCACATGAGACTAGCAAAGAATGCATTTGATCGTAAAGACTGGCATGCTGGCAGCGGAATTCTGGAAGTCCCAGAAGTCCACAAGTCTTAGAGTTGGCAAGGTTGAACACTCCTGACCTTGAGGGTCCCCCATCATCTGTATCCTTCCATGAAGGAGATGGGCTGATTCAAAATGAGAGAGAGAGAAAGAGAGGGAGGGAGGGAGGTGGAGAGGGAGAGGGAGAGGGAGGGAGAGAGAGGGGGGGAGATCTTGTGTGGGGATTTACCACAATGAAAGCCTCCAACCAGAAGCATATTGCCTCACCTCACCTTGGGAAAATATTGTCCAGGTGAAAAATATTATCCATGTTAAGATCTGGGGGGGGGGGTAGGGATGAAGATGGTAAGGAGGGAGAAAGGACATTTGAGTAAATGAACCGAGCTGAGCCCCCCCCCCCCCAATTCCATTTATTTAGGCAGGATTCACTGAAATTTGTCTGCACTTTTGAACTGTTTTCACAAAGGCCTAACTCTCACTCCCACGCAGGAAACAAGAGCCAATATGGGCCTGTTTCAATTAGGGCTCTCTCAGCATTCACACAGTTAGGAGAGGGAGGTGGGAGTAAGGGAGGTGGAGGAGCATCCAGATGTTCATTTAAAAAAAAAAGAAATGGGTACATTTATATACACCCCCTCACACAGAATATCAAGGATTGCCTTTGCAACGTTTAAATGTCCCCCGTTGAAGCTTGCTAACTTTCCCTACTAGATCCACTTCTGTGCACCTTGGGTGGCAACTTAAATACACACAACAGAAGACTTTTTTCTGTCACCATGTGCAGCATTCATAGAATCATAATCATATGGTTGGAAGGGATCTTGGAGGTCTTCTAGTCCAACCCTGTGCCCAAGGCAGGAGTCATTATTCCTTCCCGGACAAATAGTTGCCCAATCTTTTCTTGGAAACCTCCAGTGATGGAGCATATACCCAGACAACATTGCAATCTTTTTCAATCACAAACAGATTTAATTGTGCCCAACAATTGAAACAAATAGAGCTGGAAGGGACCTTGGAGGTCTTCTTGTCCAGCCCCCTGCTCAAGCAGAAGGTCCTGTACCATCTCAGTCAGATGATTGTCCAGTCTCTTTTTAAAAACTTCCAGCGATGGAGTGCCCATGATTTCTGGTGGCAAGCTGTTCCACTGGTTGATTGTCCTCACTGTCAGGAAGCTTCTCCTTAATTCCAGGTTGCTTCTCTCTTTGACCAGTTTCCAACCATTGTTTCTCGTCCTTCCCTCTGGTGCTCAGGTGAACAACCTGACCCCCCTCTTCCTTGTGGCAGCCCCTCAGATACTGGAATACTGCTATCATGTCTCCCCCTATTTCTTCTTTTCTTTAGACTAGCCAAACCCAAGTTCCGCAGCCGTTCTTCGTACATTTTGGTCTCCAGGCCTTTGATCA